ATTAAAGATATTTTATGAAACTGAAATTACATCCTACATATGTAATCCCAAAGTCACACAAATTTGGATAGAAGAAAATGTGAATGCAGTTTCCTATTTAATTGAAAATGCATTCGATCTTAAGAGTTGTAGCGAAATATGTAATACTATTTTGCAAGCAGGAGACAAATTAGATATGGTATCAATTCATTATATACACATTATCGAAAGTGTATTTAAGAAATGCTCAACTATGGAAGTAGGCAATGAAAAATTTATCATGAACCTATTACTAGTTCTTCTTCATATAACTACTTTGACATTAAAGAAAGAATCGAAGAATGTGACGAAACTACGTATTCTTTGTGAAAAGCTGAACAATATAGTTAAAAATTTACAAGACACGAAGGAAAACTTTGTACTTGAAACAATAAGTAGTAATCATTCGTGGCCACAATTCTCACGTTTTTCATTAAAATTAGGTTTTAAGGAATTAAAGAACAATAAGCAACCGTTGCCAATATTAAAAACATTAAGCGCTTTATGTGATATTGCGTTTGAAAACGATAGTAATAGCGAATACGCCAAAATTTTGTTCGAAATGACAGTTTCTCATTCTGAATTCCTGAACATCCTATTAGAATCGACAAATACAAAAAGTATGAGTATATGTATGTTTAACAAAATTAAAAAATGTAATCGTTTGTATATTAATTCATTATGTTTTTAGGAGATCTAATAGAATTATTGTGGATTCTCATGCAGAAGAATAAAACTGTTATAGCATTGGCACATGTACCCGTTTATTTGGCAGCATACAACGGTACTTTAAGCGAAGCCGACCAATTCCTTTTACTTGTAAGATCATATATAATATGTATTGTATTATTGATTATTATAGAAAACTATTGCAACATATTATATACATTCATTTTAGATTTTACAATATTACGAAAATAATAATATTAATATTTCCGAGTATCAACCATATCTATGGGGGAATGCAGCAGCAGTTCACTACAGTGTAAAGAGCGAAATACATTTAAATCTGTGGAAACAACCATCTACCACTCAAGTTTTAAATTTATTTGAGGAGGATGTTATTAGTAACACTATAAAAAATTATCCCGTGAATAGAGCGTTGAAGGTTTGTTTCTAAATATTTTTTCTTACAAATTTCATATAATTAATTATTGTTAAGTAATACTCATTTAATTAAACCATTTTTCAGGCTACTGAATTATACGAAGCACATGATACATATGATCCTGCATTTTATTTACCGTTATTATGCCATTCATTATCTGAAAATAATGTTGTATCTTGTTTGAAAATAGCTCAAAGTGGTGCTTTAGCATTAGCATTTGTTGCATGTAGCAGTAATCATTCTGATGTGCGTATGGCAGCATATACTATCATTGCTAGATATTATACTCACTTAGAAGCTTTAAGGTAATTCAAATTATATCCATTCTTTTTATTTAACTTAAGTGTAATTTAATCTTTCTTTTATTTATAGCTCTAAAACAAAATTATTACGAATGCGATTAATAGATGCGTTACGTTATGGCATTATGGCACTAGAATCGAAGCTGAATAATGTGCGTTTAAATAGTTTAGTATCCATATTTTTCGCAAGGACATCTTTAATTGCAACACAACCGTTACATCCTCTGTATTCGCGTCTGCAAATATTTCTGATGGCTAAACCTGCATTAGATGTGTATTCAATACCAGAACTATTACAACTGTTTCATAGTTCTGATATAGAATATAAAGCGCATAGGCATTGGGTTCTGGAAAATATTCGTGATGGTATGAAAACAGAAAGTGAATTGGATGTAGCATTTAAATGTGTTCTGTTTAAAATGTTGTTAGATTTTTATACGTGTAATTTAGCAGATTCACGTACAAAGGTAAGACTACACAAGTACATATTAACTATAATCTATTCTAAAATGTGTGTGGTATTACATCTTTTATAAATATTGTATAATTTGTTTCAGAAATTGATATTGGAAATCATTTGTGTTACACTGAAAATGACTAAAGCTTGCATACTTCTTATGAAAGGATATGGGCTACTTCCATGGTTATTAATTATTGCAATGAATTTGCGAGATAACGATGTTCAATCTGTCGAGCTTATTATCAAAATAATCGACGCACTTTTGAACACTATACTAAAAATGAAAGAGAATACTATTCACTATAGATCGATGCTTTTAAGTATTTCATTGAATTTAAAATCACACTTATCTAAAGATATCAAAGTCACAGTGTTTACATTATACATGAATGTTTTGCAAAAGTTATTCCTGTCCAAACACATACAAATGATTGTTGCTAAGGAACATTTAATAGAAATTCTTGAATTTTCCAAGAAGCTTTTAGGCGATTTGGATGAGTGTGAAGATATATTAAATTTTGGTTGTGAATATGTAACTAAAATCAATTGTTCCGAAAGTGATAATGAAATTGAAGTGGCACGGAATTGTCTAAGAACCATGCTATGGACATGGAGTAGTCACGAAAAAAGATAATACATCTACACATTTTTATACACTTTGTAAATATTAACAATACCGATTTACGAAACAGGTACAAGAGCCGAAAGACTCGTAGGTCTCGATTAAGAAAGAAGAACCATGTTGAATGATGAAATTTGATGTAGACAGTTTCAAATGAAACAATCCTATGAACGTAGAACAAATAAACATCATTTTTACTATCATCTTTGTCGTTCTTATAATTTTACTCTTATTTTACATTATAGGGAATCATTAATCGACGATTGAAAAAGTTCCCTTAAACCACAACAAGTCTACTTGGTCTCCCAGTTTCAAAACAGATAATAATACGATATGAACGGTAGTCCTTCAGAACAATGTCAACTGTATATGTAACAAGCACAACGGTTCCTTACAGTAGTTTAAACGAGGGACAGCAACAGTGAGGTGTTATCATAAGATTAGAATTCGTTTGTTTAGATTTAAAAGTTCTTTGGACAAAAATAAGTTAAATACTTCACTCTAAAATCATGCCGAAACGTAAGAGTTACAAAATATCTGACCGGAAGCAAGACCACTACAAATCCCAGGAAACATTGCTGCAGAGATCAAGTTCGTTTGATGCGATCGATAGCAATGGGAATAATAATACTTCCTTTAGAAAGAATGGTTCATCTGAGCGACTATTAGGAGAACATTCCCCGGAATCTGTGCTCTTTGAACCTGCCGAACTGGAGTTGACGTGCTACGATGAGCTGAGCCCAGAAATTGCCCATAAGCGACTGCGAAGAAAATCGGACTCTTTGGACAAGTACGATGATCAATGTGACGATTCATTGAAGAAAAAAGCAGACACGCCTACGAAAACCCGTTACTCATTAGACAGAACTCTTTCGTTAAACCAGGAAATTAAGTCGGACATGAACACATACATCTCTTTGCAAAATGTCAAGTCCTTTTCGAACTTCTTCCCTGTTAATCAGTTTGAGGATGAAGCGAAGAAGATCGAGCAATACGAAAAGTGGAGCAGTCATGAGAGTCATGGCTCAAAGTATCAGATAATAAATGAGAAGGCTTCACAGGATACCAGCGGTAGCAGTTTCTTCGTTGCCAATTGGAGTGAGTGCACCAAAATTCTTTCCAAGCTAAGGCAACTGAATAGCTTCAAGATAGGAGCAAGTCAGGAACACTTTGCAAGCTTTCTGTCAGAGCACACACAGCCTTTGATATCACAAAGGAAATCTAAACGCACCAATAAGCGTGCTTTTGAAGAGGTTGGCAAAGTAGATGACAAAGCGCATACAATTAGTATTAGTTCTCCTACACCATGCAATGGTTCACCGCCTCCTGCCAAAAGGTGTAGGACTACTTTGAAGTTTGATAATGAGAAAGAAACAGAAGAAGAACACAGAACGGTTGTCACATGTACACCAGAATCCCTCGCTGCTTCTATTCTAGAGTTACCTATTGTATCCGATTCTGATGGCCGTAGCGGAAGTCTGCACGACGTAAGACCTTAAAGCAGTGCTTACTTTTTAATTGGCACATTCTCACTGATAAAACTTCTTATTTCGCTTTTAGCTAGAAACAGGCGGTGAATTCTGTCGAAAATGTACCTGTCCTAGTAACAAACAGAGCTACCGATCATTTATGTTCTCCAGTAAACATCTACCTAAAATTATTGTTTTTTGCACCTGGTTGATAAGGAAGTTAGCAGAAGCCTTTAAAAAGGTGAGTAACCTTATAGTTCTCTATAAACCAGCGCAATGGTAATTTTTGAGTAATCATTGCAGAACTATGCTCGATTCAAGCATATGATCTTCGTGTCCTCTACAAAGGAAACTGCAAAGAAAGTCGAACAGCTCAGTAAAGTGGTCATAGCGTTACGCTCCGAGAACGACGAAATGATTAATATGTTCTTGGAGAGACTTAATTATTTGTCCGAAGAAATTACTCGTGTGAGTATTAGCTTTATGCGTACACGCTATAGATCTTTAAAATAATTACGGTAATCTGATTGCAGAAGCATACGAATAACGAGACTACATTAGCCACCCTGACCGCGGAGGTGTGTAACATACGAGAGATCAGTAATAAGTTGGCTAAAAACAATGAGATAATGATGCAAGAGCTGAAGACATTGCAGAGAATATTAGAAGATAAGAAAACAATATCTCCAATAATTTCACCGCCACTGCCACCACCAATGCCATCGCTTCTAATTCCATCTAGGTCGGCGGGCTCTCCACAACCTCCACTTCCACCTTTTCCTCCTCCTTCACCGCCACCCCCGCCGCCGTCGCCACCACCACCACCACCACCACCACCACCACCACCACCACCACCACCTCCTCCTCCGGCTTCATTATTTCAATCGCCGATGGAAGCAATCACGCCAACCACCCCGAAGAGAAGCGTCAGTACACCTTCGACAACGTGCTCAACGCCGTTGCTTAGTAGACCAACCATAACCGTCGAGGATCTGTTGAAGGTGACCCTAAGAAAAGCACCACAAAATCTTAAGGTAAATCGCAAGGAAAGATCCGATTCGCTCTCGTTTAATCAGTCAATATACATCCTGTACAGTGTTTTATCATCAAGTTTCTAATGGTTTGTTCTATCGTAAGAGGATATCAGAGTTTCTTCTAATGGAATTTTTACCTGAAAACTATTTTGAATAATGAATAAAGGGGGACATTTGTATTTCAGGAAAATAGAAGGAATACCATACCGGGACCAAGGGGACCAGTGGTCTCACTTGACATGCTACGTAGCGTTAAATTAAAATCTGTTAGACGCAGATCAACCCCCGACCAATTAATAAGATCTCCGAGAAGCTCTCGCAGGATTAAGGCACGCGCAGCGTCGAGCCTGAGCTTATCTCCGATAATGACTGCAACGGACAATCCGTTGGGACGAATTCTGAAACAAGTGGATCTTAATAGACGGCCAAGGCGTTTATTAACTACGACGAATTTTCGCGAGACTAATATCACAAAGGACAATAATTCATTGAATAGGGATACGAGAAATATCAGCTCGCAGGCTTTAACGTTGGATGATTCAATTTATACACAGCATAGCAATGCAAAGAAAACGCCTTGATATCATAAATATTTTACATTTTGATTGATATTTAATCTATATATGTACTGATCATTGAAAGCATACAATAAAGACTTTAGAAGAGGAACGAATAGTTGGTGAGACTTCTGCTACAGCCATCAAAATCTGTTACAACAGATAAATCTAGGATAGAAGCCGCGAGGGATTCAGGTGTACAAGTGTCAACCATTCTGTGTTCTTCTTCTGATTCTTTCTCGTTATCAAACTTCGTAGGAGTACACATTGTAATCCTGCAGTTTTTGCAGAAGACGGTGAACAATTGCATAGTGTAGAAGAACAATTAGCGTTTATAGCAATAGTATTTATTTTTGTTCCCTCAGGGATACAATTTTTTACAATTTGCACATATACTAACTTAATTTATTCTTATCTACATACTTATTTCTACCCCTTTTATACACCCCCCCCCCTTCCCTAACTATGAACCTTCGCTTCCGAAAAAAATATTTGCATTTCTCCATTTGTTTCGTACTAAATAAGATGTAATTCATTTGAATTAAAAAATCTAATATAATTTTTTCTTATATTATATATTATACAATAATTCTCATTGTATGAACAAACATACAAATTTTATAAAATATTCTGGAATGTTTTCTTTTTTCATAACATGTCAGAACCGATGACTTGAAAACTTCTTTTAATAGAAACACGTGGAAACAACTGACGCCACTCTTGTACTATAAAATCATTAATTCCATCGCAAAAGCTAAGATCGATCATTTCCAATTTTGGACAAAATAAAAGAAACTCGTAACATCTATCAGGCGTAAGAGAACGTGCCCCTAACAAATCCAATTGTTGCAATCGTTGACAAAGTAAAAGCGGCTCTAAGTCGCGATCCGTTAATCCTCTAAGGGCTGCTAAGAATACTTTCTCTAAGTGTGGACATGAAGATAATAGTGCTCGTAAAGAGTCACCAGGTGCGCCCATACCACCACTACAAACATAAGTAATCATTAGTGTATATCATATACTGTTCAATGTACTAGATAAAGATATTTCTTTTGTTTAACATACCACCATCCGAAATCAATTTCGCGAAGCTTGCTGCAATGAGATAAGGCTCTAACTCCATGTGGTGTTAAAGTTTGTGCTTTCCAAAAATCTACACTTTCTAAATGTGGACATGAACTTCCTAATTGGACTGCAACTTCATCAATATTTAAACGATCATGCATTCCAGCTAAATTCAAATGTCGCATTCTAATATTATTTTTTAATATAGTACACAATGTGGCAGTTTCAATGTTCGTTCTATAAAGTTCCAAACGTTCGAGTAATTCCAAGTTTTCAAGCTTTGAAAAACCTTCGTTCGTTATTCCAATACAGTTGCGTAAACATAATTCTAAAATACATTGCACAATAAATAATTTTCGAATTACGTAAATATAAAATAAAGCAATTAAAATTTCTATATACTAGATTGTTCCAAAAGTTCTTCCCATATTGAACACACTTATTGATGTTTTACAATTTTCTAAGCTTTTTCATTTTTTATTTTGCATTTGCATATTTGTTAGAAACGAAATGAATTTTGGAGCCAACCTAATACTATGGCGATTTTTTCACTCACCTTTTAAATCTTTACAAACAGTTGAAATTTCGAGGATGACTGCGTCATTAACGAACTTACAACAATTTAATCTTAAATGTGTCACAAGAGTTCCAGATGTATGAATAAAATGTATGAAATCTTGATATTTAATCATGTTATAATTTCCACACCACGATAGATCTAATTGTTGCAAATATTTACATCTAGGTGCTAAGTAATTCAGTGCTAATGTATCCAAACAATACCAATAAGGTCTTAAATTGAGACTTGTGTACAACAAAGCATCCCTTGCAATATTATTAAAATGTTTGTTTACTCTACATAAACAACATAAAGATCTTAGATCTAAATTTTTTAAAATTTTCAGTACTGTCTCATCCTAGTAAAAATGAATTAGAAACAAGATAAGTACCAATTGTTGAATAAAAAAACATTAAATATAAGTAATTCAAATACTTACTGGAAGTGCTGAAAAACTACCACAAGTTTGATATTCATAGTCACTTGACGGTATTGGAAACCTATCCCTGGAAAGGTTATCTTGTTCAAATAATGTATTTGACTTTGAAAATTGAATATCCCTGGTCAATTTGGGGAAATCTTCTTGTAAAAATTGTTGCAAACTATTGCATGCTTCCTCCAGAGGAGGAACAAATTGATAGTGTTGACCTATTTGAGATACTATGTTACCCTTGAATATATTATCCACGATTGTACTGTAATAATTTATGAATATACATTGAAGTATTATAGTAAAGAATTAAAATATTATAAAAATATTAATGTGTGATATAATATTTACATACCTTTCAAAAATCATACAGTGTTTGGAAATCGTTCCTTTTAGTACTTCTAAATCATAACTTGCCTTCAAATAATCTGGTGTCATATTATATTTATCATCACTACTTTGTTTAAAATAACCCAACTGTTGTATGAAATCATTTAAACTTTGATTACGTGATTTGTAAGGAACAATGAAATTAGATGTTCCGATAAGTGATACAGCATCTAATTCCGTATAATAATCTAATAAATTGTGATTAAATTCCAGTCTTATCATCTTTGTCATAAAATTACACAGCGGTAAACGAGGGGAAAATATGCGAGGCTTGTGAAGAACAATTTGAGGAACACCACTCCATAACTGAATCCACTTTCCTTCCAAATTTTGTGCCCATACTCCAACTACACTTCCAGGATTGTAAGTTTCATAAATTGAAACTCTAATTGGATATACCGGTTCATAAAATTCTAGATCTTGGGAAAACAAAAACATATCTCAATCTACATTTTGTAAATTTATAAATATTGGTGACATTGGTCTATTTAATCTGACATTTGAATATAACCAGAAAATAGAAAGATTTTTATGTAATACCTATGTAATCTTGGCTTACAACATCTTCATTATTTTGTGGCATATAATCTATCAGTCTTGAAGGTGCTTTATTCCACCATGGTCCATATGTTCTCTAGAATAAGAATCTTTGTAATATATACTTGAAGTATCATTATTAACAAAATATATTACTCAAATTAACAATATGCATAAGTGTTTTGTTCATGCATAGTCATATAGTAGTTGAAGCATGTTTTATGGATTTGTATTTCATTGATTGCTATGAAATCAATTCAGGCGATAAAAAGAAG